TTGAGACAGGGCCTCACATACAGCCCTAACTAGCCTGGAACTTGCTGTGTTGCCCAGACTGATCTCAAACTCATAGAGAACTGCCTGCCTCTGCCTCCCAAGTGGCATGTGCCACTATACCCAACACTTTTTTTTGTCTTTCTTGAGATAGGGTTTCTCAGTAGGCCCAGCTGGCCTGGACTTGCTGTGGAGACCAGGCTGGCCTTGATGTCTGCCTCTACATCCTGAGTGCTAGGACTAAAGGTGTGCACCACTGCACCTGGCACTTTTTTTTTTTTTTGAGGTCAGGTGGTACAAGATATTGAACCCTAGCAAGCACTAAGCTACATCCCCATACTTGGGAAGCATCTGCTGAATGAATGAATTTACAGTGAATTCAGAATATGGACACAGGGCTGGGGATTTAGCTCAGTGGTAGAGTTACTTGCCTAGCATGTGCAAGGATCTGGGTTCAAACCCCAGTAACATATGTACATATACAATGGAAACATGGGCACAGGAGTCATGAAGAAATGCTCTCAAAGTCTCCATCTTTGAGAGTGGTCTGAGACCATGAGAAATAATTCCACCCCTTGGAACCTCAGTTTTCTCCTCTTTGAAATGTCTGTTCAGGGCTTGTGGGATGGCTCAGTGGAAAAGAGGCACTTTAAGCCTGATGACCTGAATTAGATCCCCAGGACCCACATGACGGAAGGAGAGAATCAACTCCCGAGTTGTCCTCTGACCTTCATTCACATACTGCTCACTGCCCCCCTAAATAGATAATGTAATAGAAAATTTTAAATGAGTATGTAAGGCCAGGTTTGGTGCCCAACACTTATAATTCCAACACTTGGGAGGCTGAGGCAGGACAATCACAAGCTCAAGGTTTGCCTGATCTACATGTTTGAGACCATTTGGGGTTATACTGATACCTTGTCTCAAAACAAAATACTATATAGGGTGAGATGGCTTGGTGGGTAAAGACACCTACCAAGCCTGGTGACTGCAGTTCGATCTTGGGGACCCACATGGTAGAAAGGACTAACTCCCAAGAGTTGTCCTCTGACCTCCACACACATGTCGTGATGCATGTGTGCACACATGTACACACAAAACATTTAAAATGCATTAAAAAACCACTATATTCAATAAGATTAAACAAGGGGAATGGGCTATCACTGTGACACTGTTTGTGTGGGAAGCATGAGGCCCTGGGTTCAGTCCCCAGGAGTGGTTAAAAGTACTGGTTATTCTTGCAGGGGACTCAGGGCTTAGTTCCCAACACCTACACTGCAGCTGTCTGTAACTCCAGTTACAGGGGATCCAATGCCCTCTTCTGGCCTCTGAGAGCATTGCATGCACATGGTGCAATAAAAATAACCAGGGGTACAGTCTATGGCCCCACCCCCTTCCCAGGGCTATGGTGAAGATGGGTCTCCATGGTATATTCAGGAAAATACCTAGAACCTGGTGAGACGTAAGTACTCTGCAAATGGAATCTGCACTAATTTGGGGAATTCCAAGTCTGTGTGTGTATAACCAAGCCTTCTACCTGCTCTGTGACTGCACCCTCACCTCATATCCCAAGGCGTATTGGATTTTCCCAGTTGCATCTCTCTTCAGGAAGCCATTGATATTCACATAAAACCTGGGAACAGGTGAAGAGCAGGCCCCAGTGAGGGATCCGACCTCAGGGGCTCCCCACAGCTTAAGACCACCTTCCCCAGCCCCTCCCTTTAGCCTCCCCCTGGGCCCTTTGGAATTCGGGGGGAGTTAGTATTCCTCTGAGTGTGCCCCGGTCCAGGCCCCAGAAGCAGCACCTTTTGGGGGCAATAAAGGGCCCCACGCCATTGCCTTTGACGTCCACGCGCATGACCACACTGCCGTTTTTGATGGGCATGGGTGTGTACCAGTTTATGACGCACATGGCCTCCGCCAAGCAGGGCCCTGCAGGTGGAGAGGGCACTGAGGCACTAGTGACCGCAGGCCTCCATAGGATGGGGCTTCCCATCCTGCCGACCACCACCGGCTTGCGGGCCCACCTGTGCTGCGCAGTGGGGCAGCCTCCATCTGAATCTGTAGATGCTCGATCTTCCAGTGGTAGAAATTGACTGGGTACTGGTAGCTGACCAGGACCACAGGCCTCAGCCCCATCAGGTGGCCCTTTCGGATCAGGTCCTCGGAAGTCTAAGGGCAAGAGGGTGAATCCTTAACATAGACTTGGGGTCCTCTGGCCTGGAGTTCCCTGTAGTAGTAGTGTGTCTTCCTGGGCTGGATGGGAGGGCAGGCTCTCCATCGTGGGACAGTCAGAGAACAGGGCTAGGGAGCCTGATGTGATGGCACCTGCTTTTTATCCCAGCACTCTGGAGGTTGAGACAGGAGACTCTGCAGTTCAAGGCTAGCTTGGGATTGTGAGTTCAAAGCCAGCCTGGGCTATATTGTGAGATTCTGACTCAAAAAAAAAATTTTTTTTCAGATGCCAAGTGTGGTGACATTGACCTATCATTAGAGAGACAGAGGCAGGATCATTGCAAGTTTGAGGCCACATTGCTCTAACTATATAGCGAGTTCCAGATGAGTCAGGACTACATAGTTAACTCGGTGTATTTTTAAAAATATTTTATTTATCTTTATTTTATGTATATGCATGTACTGCCTACATGTAGGTAAGTGTACCTGTGTTGTGCAATACCTGTGGAGGACAGAAGAGGCTGTCAGATCCCCTGGAACTGGAGTTACAGACAGTTGTTAGCTGCTATGTGGGTACTGCAATTCAAACCTGTGTCTTCTTCAAGAACAGTGTTCTTAACCAACCCCTAACTCTGTGTATTAAAAGGGGGGTAGGGGGCTGGGGAAATGGCTCAGGTGTTAAGAACACTGGTTGTTCTTGCAGAAGACCCGGGTTTGAATCCCAACACCCACATGGCAGCTAACAACTGTCTTAACTCCAGTTCCAGGGGATCTGACAGCGTCTTCTGTCCTCCGTGGGCATTGCACAACATGGGTGCACTTACCTACATGCAGGCAGTACACATATACACATAAAATAAAATAAATAAATAAATAAACAAATAAATAAATAGAGGGTGGAGCCAGGAGTGGTGGTGCACGCCTTTAGTCCCAGCACTCGGGAGGCAGAGGCAGGTGGATCACTGTGAGTTCAAGGCCAGTCTGGTCTACATAGTGAGTTCAGGTCAGCTGGAACTACAGGAAGACCCTGTCTCAAAAAGACAAAAAATAAGGGGGGGGGGGATGGCCTGGAGACAGGTAGCACAGGCCTTTAATCTCAGCACTTGGGAGGCAGAGGCACATGGGTCTCTGTGAGATCGAGGCCAGCCTGCTCTGCATAGCAAGTTCCAGGCCTAATGAGACCTTGTCTCAAAAGCAACAACAAACTGTTTGTGATATTATATGGTGAGTGAAGAATAAACTTAAAACCTTTGCGGGGGGGCTGGAGAGATAGCTCAGCGCTTGAGAGCACTGACTGCTCTTGCAGAAGACCCAGGTTCGATTCCCAGCACCCACACGGCAGCTACAAACATCCTTAACTCCAGTTCCAGGGGAATCCAAAGCCCTATTCTGACCTCCACAGCATTGCACAACCCGGGTGCACTCACATATATGCAGGCAATACACTCATACACATAAATAAAGATAATAAATAAAAGATTTTAAAAAACCTTTTTGTTACTGTTCTGAGAAAGGCTCTTCCTATATATAGTCCAGGCTAGCCTCGAATTCTTGATCCTCTTGCCTCAGCCTCCTCGGTGCTAGAATTTAAGGCATGAGTCACCACCCAGGGCTGAGCTTTTCACTTCTTCATAGCATGCTTTGAAACACAGAAGTTCTGGAGCTGCGTTGTTAGAGTGCTTTCCTAGCATGCACAAGGCCCTGTGTTCCATCCCTAGTACCTTACAAAACAAGGTGTGGTGGTTCTACCTTGGGAGGTAGAAGCAGGAGGATCAGAAGTTCTAGGTCATCCTTTGCTACACAAGTTTAAGGTCAGCCTGGGCTTCATGAAACCTTGTCTCAAAAATGCCAAAAACCAAAAACAACACAAAAAAAAAAACAAAAGACAGCTGGGCTTAGTGGTGAACACCTTTTAGTCCCAGCACTTGGGAGGCAGAAGCAGTCAGATCTCTGTGAGTTCAAGACCAACTTGGTCTACATACCGAGTTCTAGGCCAGGGCAACAGGGAGAAAAAAAAACAAAACTAGAGGCTGAAGATATGGCTCAGGGGTTAAGGGCACTGGCTACTCTTGCAGAGGACCCAGAGTTCAGTTCCCAGCATCCACATGGTGGCTAACAACTGTCCATAACTCCACTGTCAGGGGGATCTGATGCCCTCTTCTGGCATCCATGGGCATTGCATGCATGTGGTGCACTTAGAAGCATGCAAAACACTCATACACATAAAAATAATAAAAATAAAGCTAGGTGTGGTGGCACACACCTTTAGCCCCAGCACTCCGGAGGCAGAGGCAGGCAGATCTCTGTGAGATCAAGGTCAGCCTGGTGTACATAGCGAGTGCCAGACCAGCTGGGGCTACAGGGAGACCCTGTCTCAAAAAGACCAATAAATAATAATAATAATAGCAATAATAAAAACAATACAAAAATCTCCAAAAGTTTGAGTACTTGTGTGCCTGGTGAGAGACTGAATCCTTAAGACCCTTGGAGTTGGTGGGTTGTATTGCTGTTAAACTGCTGGGGAAGAGTATTAAAATGATTGGGAACTGGGAAGGGGGAGCTTACAGAACCATACCGCGCCTACTGTAAACTCACCTTTCCCATACAGGAGAAGTCGACTTTCAGGTAGTAAGGGAAGCCCAGGTATTTCTGTAATTAAAGGTGGGTGAAATGTCCAGTCAAGCGGTGTACTGACTCAAGATCCCTCGGATTCGTTCAACCCTAGTTGCCTCACCTCGCCCCGGTCAATTGGCGAGTCTACCAACGTGTTGAACACACTGTCCACTGTATCCATGGGCTCTTGATCCATGAATCGGTCCTTCGAGTAGTATTCGCCTACCTTCTCGAACTTGTTCAGGACAACCCGCCAGCTGCACCGTTGAACATTTTCTACCGCCCACGACCTCCACGGGACAAGTAGCAGTACCAGCAGTACCCACAACGCCCACTGGACTGGTTCTCTCGGCCACACAGGGCTGGCAGGGGACATGGCTGGCCAGCACACCATGTAGCTAGAACCTGGAGAACGTAGGGGTCAAGTCCTGCGTGCAAGTCTGTTTCCCGGGACTGACCTTTGAGAACCCGCCGTTGTTGCCTTTCGCCCCGCCCCTTCTTGGCTCCGTCCCCGCTCTTACGCTCGGCCCCGCCCTTGTCCTTAACCTCCGCCCTGCCCCTCCTCTTGCTCTCGGCCCCGCCCCGACTGAGGGTCCTGGTCAAGGCCCGGCCGCTGCGGTTCTTTTCGCCCCGCCTCCTAGCCGCTCCCCATCCTCTCGCCCGGCCGGCCCTTGCTCTTTTCTGAGGCCCCCTGTGTTTGTTTCTCCCTTTGACCGAGCCTTTCTTGTTTTCCCCTATCCTGCTCGCCGACTTGTTCTTGGCTCCGCCCTAACATGCAGCCCCGCCCCCACACTTGTCTTAGCCACGCCCCTTTCTCTTCTCTCGCGCCCTACTCTGGAGCTGGCTCTTATTCTTGGTCTTGTCCCTTTCTGGCTCCTCGTCCACGACTTTGTCCACGCCACGCTCTTTGTCCTGAGTCCGTGATTCTTGCCTAAAGCCTGCTCCTCGCTCTGCTTTCTCTTCTTGCCACCCGCCTCTTCCTGGGCCCGCCCTTTCCTCTGGTCCTGGGCCCGCCCTTTCCCCCGGGCTCGTTGCCACACCCCTCGCTCTGCCAGTCCCCCTTGTTCTCCAGACTCGCCTGCCCCTCGCCACCAGGTGGCCTTCTGCTCAAACTTGGCACTGCCCTGGGCCGGCGCCTGCTCCTTGGGGACCCTCACTTGGTCGCGGGGTCCCTCTACCCCTCGGGGTCTCTCTTGGCCGGGCATGGGGGGTTGGGGGGGTCTCTCCTCGCCTTGGCCCTTGCCCTCGCCTGCAGACTTCTCTTTGGCTGTCTGCTCGCCGCGCCCCTTCTCGGGGAAAACTCGCTCCTTGCCCCAGTATCTCTCGGGATCTCGGGGTCTCTCCGCGCCGCAGGCCGTCCCCTTGCCGGGAGATCTCCCGTCGTCCCACACCCAGGCTGACCTCGCGATCCTCAGGGTTCCCGGGTTCCCACCGACACCTTTTGCCTCCACGGATTCTCACGCCTCCTTTCCATGCCCTAAACCTCAGCCCGCTGTACGCCCCGCCTCTTCTGACCACGTCCCCCAGTCATCGCCCCGCTCCTAGTCTTACCACGCCCTTGCCTGCGCCTCGCCCTTTCTCCGCCCCTCCTTCGCCTGACTCCCTTCTCTGCCTGGTCAACGGTACTTGATGCTCCTTTTCCAGCCTTGCCTTGCGTCCCTTCTCCCCTCCCCTTCTTAACCCCACCCTCTCCCCCTTATCCCCTAGGATGGCACCTCCCTCTTCTCCCCGCCCCTCTATACCAGTCACTTGGTTAAAGCCGATCAACCGTTGCTTGGCAGCACCTGTTCCACCCCTTTTGCCAGCTCTCAAAATGGCCGCTCTGACGTTGGTGGCCGATTTCCCTCTTCCGCGCGGCGTGTTTCAACCATAACGCATATTCCCAACCATCGCCCAGGGCCTAGGGGCGGAGCTTAAGCACCTGCGCACCCAGGAGCCTTGGCAAGGGGAGGATGGCAGAAATGAGAAGACCATCAAGGAATTTCTAATGTTTTCTCGCAATAGGCACTGTAGCTACTTGTCCTCCAGTTCAAAAAGTCTCCTGAGAAAAAAGACTGTTCTAGAACCCTTGTGGGACTGAACCAATCTGTTATGGACGTGAACTCCTACAGTTAAAAGGTATTAGCAGGTAACCGGGTGGTGCATGCCTTTAGATCTCTGTGAATTTGAGGCCAGCCTTGTCTACGTATCGCGTTCCAGGCCAACTGGGGCTACAGGGAGACCCTGTCTCAAAAGGACCAAAATAAAATAAAAAAAAGATATTAGCAGACTTAGAGGTTGGGCCCTTCCTAGTCAACAGCCTATAAAACCAAAGACTGGGAAGCAGGAATTTAATTGCTGGGCAAGTCTCTGATCACTGACTTTATGAACTGGCCAAAAAGCCATCATGAGTGGATAAACAACCAGAACCTGGCTAGGAGCCCTAGGCCTTGTAAGACTGCTGTTTGCAGGAAGCTTTTAAGACTGGGCTGGATGTAGCTCAGCCCTGACTTTGATCTTCAGCAGCTCATAAACTGAGTGTGCATACCCATAAGCCCTGCACTCTGGAGGCAGAGGCAAGAGGATCAGAAGTCAAGTGATCAAGGTGATCATTGGCTTGGGAGTCAAAGGCCAACCTGGGCTACAAGAGACCCTGTCTCAAAAAGAAAAAGCTGAGTGTGGTGGCACACCTTTAATTCCAGCACTTGGGAGGCATAGGCAGGCACATCTCTGTGAGTTTGAGGCCAGCCTGGTCTACATAGTGAGTTCCAGAAGCCAGCCCAGGGCTGTGTACTGAGACCCTGTCTAAAAAAAAAGTGATTCAGAACAAACCTGTCAATTACCTAACCAGGACAAAGTCTCTCTGGAAAAGCTGCTTATTCTAGAGATTTCTTAACGTCTTTTTAAAAAATGTATTTATTGACATATGTGGAGGTCATAGGACCATTTTTGGGAGTTGATTCTCTTCTGCCTTATTTGGAAGTAGGGTCCCTCTTGTTTCTGCTGTTGAACTGCATACTGGCCAAGGAGCTTCTGGCCAGGTCTCTTGTCTCTCGCTCCCATCTTAGGTCTGCTGGGCTTGTAGATGTGTGCCGCTGCGTCCAACTGGCTCTTTACGTGGGTCCTGAGAATCAAACTTTAGTCATCAGACTTGAGTGGCAAGTACTTTTACCTGCTGGGTCATCTCCTTTGCCTGTAGGTGTAGCCTAGGGTGGCCTTAAACTCCTGATCCACTAGCCTCTTCAACATATCCTGTCAGTGTAGAAAATAGTATATAAAGTCTGGGTAGAAAGTAGATCTGCACAGTGGTCTCTTTGGTCACTTGAGTGCCCTTGAGTGTGCCTGTCTTCTATAGGTCATAAGGACCAGGGTGGTAATAAGAGCTTGGTGGCAGTTATGGGAATGGGTTCAATTCCCAGCACCCACATGGCAGCTAACAACTTGTCTATAACTCCAGTTCCAGGAGCTCCAACATCCTCTTCTGATATCCTTGAGCACTGCATGATACAGGTGCACTTACATGCAGGCAATACACTCATACAAAAATAATAAAATAATTTTTTTAAAAAAAAAAAAAGACATCAAGCCAGGTGTGGTGGTGCACGCCTTTAATCCCAGCACTTGGGAGACAGAAGCAGGCGGATCTCTGTGAGTTAAAGGCCAGCCTGGTCTACATAGTGAGTTCCAGGACAGCTGGAGCTACAGGGATACCCTGTCTCAAAAAGACCAAAAAAAAAAAAACCCACACATCAGCTGAGGACCAGGTGTGGTGGCGCATGCCTTTAGTCCCAGCACTCAGGAGGCAGAGGCAGATGGATCTTTGTAAGTTCGAGGCCAGCCTGGTCTACACAGTGAGTTTCAGGCCAGCTGGGGCTACAGGGAGAACATGTCTCAAAAAGACAAAACAAAAAAAGGCATTACCTGAAGAGGTGGTATAGCTAGTCAGGTGTGGTCGCCCAGATATGTAGTCCTAGCACTTAGGAAACTGAGGCAGGAGAATCATGAGTTTGAGACCATCCTGGCTACATAGAGAGGACCTTGTCCTTAGGGGAAACACACACACACACACACACACACACACAACAACAACAACAACAACAACAATGACTTGGGCTATAGCACTGTGGTAGAGTGTTTACCTAGCATGTGCAAGGGCCTGGATTCAGAAAAAGGAAATAATGCCTGGGACAAGTAAATGTTCAACAATTTAACAATTTACCTTTGTATCCTGTGCCTGGCAGTTGAGGACTGCTTATTAAAATATATAGGAGGATAAGTTAGAGAGAGATTTAACATCATAGGTCAAGTAGGTATAGCTCAGGAAAGGGATTAGGAAAAATTCCCTTAGGTCTGTCTCCAGACCCCGAAGACATGAAAAGAAAGGAGTGGGAGTGTGGCCCTCTGACTATTTCCTGTTGATTATGGGTGAAGTTGTGGGGGTGGTCTTCTGGGTCCAGGATGAGGGGCTGGTGTGCCGGGTTAGAACAATGAAACAAGAACATGGTCCTGATCTGGTCCTCGGTAGGTGCACCTAATAGAGTTGTTTAGGTGCTCCTGTAAGAGTTTCTGTAGACAATTTCTTAAGCAAGAGGCAATGGTTACTAAGAGAAAGTATGGGTCCCAATAGAGGGGCAATCAGGGTAACCACTGTCCTAAACCTGCCCACAGTCCCCCATTTCAGGGCACTTGGAGTTCTGAGGCTTTGTCTCCAAACCTCTTGACTGCGTCCCTGACAACTCCAGATTGATTGACATAGAAACAGCATTCCAAACTCCTGCAGGAAAAAGCAGGTGCCTTCTTTTTCGGTGGTGAGGGCCCCCGGATTTTGTAACACCATTCCTGTGACGGAGTCTAACTGGTTCTGAAGGGTGGTGGGTGAACTGACAATTTCATCTAGAGTGTCTGAGAGAGTTTTGGATAGCTGTTGAATAGATGGAAGTGATTAGCCTGGCAATGTCTGTGCCAAGAAGAGAGATCTTCAACTGTTGGGACTGGGAGGGGCATCAGCCACGGGTCTTCTTGGAGATGTTCCAGGAAGGAGTAAAACTGTTGTAGGGTGAGCATCATCAGAATGACCCTGTTCCAGAAAATTCTCCTCAGAATGGTGAATCTGGAAAAGAAATGGATGGCGACGAAGATGCAAATAAATCTGAGATAAGCTTAGTGTGTGAAATCAATCTGAAGAGAAATATGCCTGACAGTTTTGAGGTTATTAAAGAGCGTGGACCACCACATATGAAGAGCTTTGTTTCCCAGGTATCAGTAGGAGTTCTCTGCAGGAGAGGGAAATAGCAAAAAAATCTCCAAGAAGTGTGGTGCATTCACCGTTTTACAGGGGCTTGAAAAATGCCCACCTCGGGGCTGGAGAGATGGCTCAGCGGTTAAGAGCACTGACTGTTCTTGCAGAAGCCCGGGGTTCAAATCCCAGAACCCACATGGCAGCTAACGACTGTCCATAGCTCCAGTTCCAGGGGATCCGACAGCCTCTTCTGTCCTCTGAGGACATTGCATGACATGGGTGCACTTACCTACATGCAGGCAATACACGCATACACATAAAATAAAATATAATAAAATATTAAAAACTGCCCATCTCTTCTGTGGTAGAGAAGCCAAAACTATTTTCTTAAAAACGCCGTAAAGTCTGGACGAGAATATGGTCAAGGAATGAACCCCGTTAACCGCCTGGCTCAAATTCAACAGGCCAAAATGGAAAAAGAACCAGATTAGGTTTTGCTTTCAGGAAGAGGAATGCCTTGATGTCAAGAATTTGTGATGCTGGTCAAGGTGGGCATGGAAGTTGCTACTGAAACAGGACCCAATAAAAAGATAGCAAAAAAAAAAAAAAAAAAAAAAAAAAAAAAAAAAAAGCTGCAGAAGCAATCCTGTTGCAACTTGGTTATAAAGCACCTACTAGCCTTCAAGATCATCTTGACAAGACAGAGAAAAGCAAAGGATGGAGCATTCCAAAGGCTGGGTTACCTGAACCAACAAATAATACTCCAAAAGGAATTCATCTATCTCCCAATGTTTATCAGGAGATGGAAGCTGACTGCCATAGAGTGATCTCAGGCACAGCTGTAGGCTACTTGTCACTCAAAGACCAAAGATATGAACCAACCTTCAAGCTCTTTCTTCAGTGTATCTCCCCACATCAAATAGTTCAAACACGGTTGCCAGGGAACTCCTTATAAACGGAACATCTCTCACAGCTGAAGCCATAGGTGTAAAAGGAAGTTCTCCTCCCCCTTGTTCTCAGCACAGCCTTCAAAACAACCAGAATACTTAGCAAGGGTTCAAAGCTTTCAGGAAGGTCACGGGAAGAGTGAGCTCCAGGTTTTGCTGACAAAGCATTCAGCGACGTGAACAAGGACTCGGGCCATTCCCACTGCTCAGCGCTCAGCCCTACAATTCACTTCATCCTCTGACTCAAAAGTACAGGTGGACTAGGTTTCTGGGACCCAGCAAGCCAGCCATGTCTGCAAAGAAAGATGTGGCCTTGTGTTAGGGCAAACAC